AACATATCCGTGAGTTAGAAGATTCAATATTGTTAAGATGTCAATTCTTCCCAAACTCACCTATGGATGCAGCACATTTCCAGTCAAAATCCTAACCAGCTTTTCCAGATGTCCACTGACAAATGAATGGATAAAGAAGATGTGGTATGTGTGTGTGTGTGTATATATATATATATATATATATATATATATAATGGAATATTACTCAGCCATCAAAAAAATGAAATCTTGCCATTTGCAACGACATGGGTGGAACTAGAGAGTATTATGCTAAGCGCAATAAGTCAATCAGAGAAAGACAATTATCAAATGATTTCACTCATATGTGGAATTTAAGAAACAAAACAGAAGAGCATAGGGGAAGGGAGGGAAAAATAAAACAAGACAAAATCAGAGAGGGAGACAAACCATAAGAGACTCTTAATCATAGGAAACAAACTGAGGGTTGCTGGAGGGGGTGGAAGGATGGGGTAACTGGGTGATGGACATTAAGGAGGGCACATGATGTAATGAGCACTGGGTGTTATATAAGACTGATGAATCACTGAACTCTACCTCTGAAACTAATAATATACTATATGCTACTATTTGAATTTAAATTTAAAAAACTAAAAAATAAAAAATAAATTTTAAAAAGAAAATAAGAAAGTTCATCAAGATGAGTATCAGCCAGAGCTATGAGATTAGCCTTGAACAAAATTGACTTTATTCTAAGAAGAACTTGAATTATCTTGCTTTTCATTGTAATATGGGTCTGCAATTCTAAAACTACCTTTTTGTACTCTAGGAGTGAGGCAAAAATATTGCCAATATTCTCAATAAAGAGAATAATGGGAAAAAAATAAAAAATAAAAATTACAACACCTCCTACACTACAAAAAATAGAATAAAATATTGTGTAAGAAGAAATTTCCAGTATATTAAAAACACAAATGATACTAGAAAAAAATCCTAACCAGCTTTTTAGTAGAAATTAGTAAACTGATTCTAAAATTCATAAGTAATTGCAAAGGTACTAAAATAGTATCCTTTTTCAGCCAAAGATCATTTGGCTGAAAGAAGACTTACTAAAAAGCTACAGTAATCAAGATAGTGTACTATTAATATAAAGGCAAAAGACTAGATCAACTGAAGAGAGTAAAGAGTAGAGAAACAATCACACATATTTAGCCAATTAAATATTATGAAGGCAACAAAAAAATTCAACAGGGAAAGAAAAGTTGTTTTCAAGAAATGGTGCTAGCAATCCACAAAGAAAATTTGATAATTTGGACTTCATCAAAATTTACAATTTTTCTATTTCAAAAGACACCACTTAAAAATGAAAAGTCAGGGGCGCCTGGGTGGCTCAGTCCTTAAAGTGTCTGCCTTTGGCCCAGGTCATGATCCCAGGGTCCTGGGATTGAGCCCCGCATCGGGCTCCCTGCTCCGCAAGAAGCCTGCTTCTTCCTCTCCCACTCCCCCTGCTTGTGTTCCCTCTCTGTGTCTCTCTCTGTCAAATAAATAAATAAAATCTTAAAAAAAAAAAAAAAAGTCAAGCAATAGACTAGGAGAAAGATTTACAAATCATTTACTGGGAGGAAAACATTTGCAAATTATATATTGTAGCATAATATATTAAAAAAACTCCTAACTGGGTATTTATCCAAAGAAAACAAAAACACTAATTCAAAAAGATATATGCACCCCATGTTCACTGGAGCATAATCTGCAATAGCCAGGATATGGAAGCAACCCTAAGTGTCCACTGATAGATGAATAAAGAAGACATGGTGTATACATACATACATACACATACATACACACACACACACATTATACAGCCATAAAAAGGAATGAGATCATGACATTTGCAACAATTTGGATAGACCCAGAAGGTATTATGCTAAGTGAAATAAATCCAACAGAGAAAGACAAATATCATATGATTTCAATTATATGTGGAATCTAAAAAACAGAACATAAAAATCAGAAACAGACCCATAAATACAGAGAACACACTGATGGTCAGCAGACAGGAGAGGGGTGAGTAAAGGGGAGTGGGAGGTATAGCCTTCCAGTTATGGAATAAGTCACAGGGATGAAAGGTACAGCATAGAGAATACAGTCAGTGGTACTATAATAGTGTTATATAGTGACAGATGGTAGCTACACTTGTGGTGAGCACAGCATAATGTACAGAGTTGTTGAATCACTATGTTGTATACCTGAAACTAATGTAACATTGTGTGTCAATTATTCTTCAATAAAAAAAAAAAACAGAATAAGATAACCCAATTTTAAAACGCCTAAAAGATATGAATAGACTGAGTTAACTAAAGAAAATATACTAATGACTAATAAGCACATGAAACGATGCTCAATATCATTAGCCGTTTACGAAACATAAGCTAAAATCCTGATGAGATACCACTGTACACCCACTAGAAGGCCCATAATCAAAAAAGAGAACACAAGTGTTGGTAAGGATGTGTGGACAATGGAATCCTCCTACACTGCTGATGGGAATATAAAATAGTACAGGGACTTTGGAAAACAATATGGCAGTTCCTTAAAAAATTAAACTTACCATACAACCCAGCAATTCCATTTTTAGAAATCTACCTAAGAGAAATGAAAGCACAGGTCCATGCAAATACATGTAAGCAAATGTTCATAGCAGCATTATTCATAAAAGCCAAAACTAGAAACAATCCAAATATCCATCAACTGGTGAATGAACAAAACGTGTTACAACCATAAAATAGAACAGAATTCATTAATTAAAAAAAAAAGAATGAACTACTAAAGACATTCTGCAACGTGGATGTACCTCAAAGGCATTATGCAAAGTGAACAAAGCCAGACACAAAAGACTATATCTTGTACAATTCCATTTATATGAAATGACCAGAAAAAGCAAATCTATAGAGAAAATAGATTAGCGACTGCCTAGAACTGGGAGTGAGAATAGGTACGTCATGACGGCTGGAATAGACTGAAGGTTAAAATCTTGCCTTTTGCAACAACATGGATGGAGCTAGAGAGAATAATGTTAAGCAAAATAAGGCAGTCAGAGAAAGACAAATACCATATGCTCTCACTCATGTGAAAACAGATGAACAAAGTGGGGGGGGGGGGGAAGAGAGAAAGACAAACCAAGAAACAGACTCTAAACTATAGAGAACAAACTGATGGTTACCAGAGGGGAGGGAGATGGGGGAAGGGGGAAATAGGTGATGGGGATTAAACAGTATACTTAACATGATGAAGGAAAAAAAAAAAATGAAAATTTAAAAAAAAAATTCATGGGTTGAAATCCTAACCCCCAATGTGATGATATTAGGAAGTGGGAACTTTGGGTGGTGATTAGGTCATGAAAGTGAACAACTCATGAATGGGATTAGTGCCCTTATAAAAGAGACCTGAGAAATCTCTCCTGCCCTGTCTGCCATTTGAGGATACAACAAGAAAATGACTATCTAATCATGATGAGCACTGAGTAATATATAGAATTGTTGAATCACTATATTGTACACCTGAAACTAATGGAACACTATATGTTAAGTATACTGGAATTAAAAACTTAATTTAAAAAATAAAAAAGAAAAGACAATGATTATCTGCAACCCAAAAGAGGGCCCTCACTAGGACATGACCAGGTTGGCACGCTGATGCACCCTTCCAGCCTGCAGAACTGTGAGAAAGAAATTTCTCTTTATAAGCCACCCAATATGAGATACTCTTTTATAGCAGCCCAGATGAAATAAGACAATGGCCAACAGACCTGAGGGATCTTTCTGTGGTGATGGAAATGTTCTCAAACTGGACTATGGTATGACTGGCACACTCTATAAATTAGCAAAGACATTAAAGTAGTTATTTTAATAATATTCTGTATGTCCAAAAGGTTAAGTAGATTAATGGAAAGTAAAAAAAGACCCAAATCAAATTTCTACAGATGAAACAAAAATGTCTTAAATGAAAAATACACTGAATAAGATTAGGGGCAGATTAAACAGTACAGAAAAAAATGCGAAGTGAACTTGAAAACAAAGCAATAAAAATTATCCAAAACAGAACACACAGGGAAAAGAGGACTGTGGAAAAAAATGAACAGAGAATCCAGTGATCTGTGAGACATCCTTAAGATGCCTGGTACATTTGTAATTGCAGTTCCAGAAGGAAAGGGGAGGAACAGAAAAAATATTTGGAAAAAATAAAGGTCATAAAATCACTAATCTAATAAAAAACTGAATTTCCCTAATTCACTGCACAAGCACTCCTATTAGAACAAGTTATAAGTTTGGGTTCCTTACATTTGGTCACAGCATAAATGTTAGGTTTCCTCCTGTTCTCTATTGAATAATTTTGAATCTTAATAAGTTAGTAAATTATTATACACTGTAATAATAAGAATGAAAATAATTCACTTGAATGGTTCAGATTTGTATTCTTTTAAACTGTGTATCTTGGGGTGCCTGGGTGGCTCAGTCAGTTAAGCATCCAACTCTTGATTTCGGCCCAGGTCATAATCTGAGGATTGTGAGATCAAGCTCCCCCCATCTGGCTGGGCTCCGTGCTGGGTGTGGAATCTGCTTAAGATTCTCTCTCTCCTGGGGCAACTGGGTGGCTCAGTTGGTTAAGTGTCCGCCTTCAGCTCAGGTCATGATCCCAGGGTCCTGGGATCAAGCCCCATGTCTGGCTCCCTGCTCAGTGGAGAGCCTGCTTCTCCCTCTCCCTCTGCCTGCCCCTCTGCCTACTTGTGTTCTCTATCTCTCTGTCAAATAAATAAATAAAATCTTAAAAAAAAAAAGATTCTCTCTCTCTCCCTTCCTCTCAAAAGAAAACAAAAACAAACAAAAAAAAAACCCCTGCGTATCTTATTTTAAAGCTCTTTAGTATTTTTCCCCTTTCATCTCATATACCCTTATTTCCTCAGAATTCAGTCTCTTGAATTTGTCCACTTATAAGAACAAAATAAATAATAAAGTATAAAGAAATGAAAAGTGAGAACCTACCTGAAGTCTTGTGAGTTGTGCAGTCCTGGCTACTATCTTATTGTATGGTTCCACGATTTTTGCTTTCATCCTAAAGGAAAAGAAAGAGGAGTGACAGTAAAATCATCTTCAAAATATCAATGGTTAAATTTCTTTCCGTTCCACTTATTTACAAAATGAACAAAAGTACCTATCAACAGCTCCCTGTAAAGCTCCAATTCTTGTCTGCATCATCTGAAGAACACCTAGGAAAACATAATAGTTTCCATTACTTTACAAATTTACAAGGATTCCAATTGGGGGAAAAACTGTATTAAAAGAAAAAATCATACATGTACACATACCCATATATAGAAAAATTTCAATTTTTTCTGCCACCATCATAACTTAACCAATATCTTTTACCTGCACTATTTTTAAAGCCTCTAAGTAGTCTCCCCCTCCAATTCTTGTTCCACTAAACAAGTCTGACAAATGGAGAGTGACTGAATAAGGAGCATAGGGTTTTCCAGTTTGGGTGATGAAAAAGTTCTGGAACTACATAGGAATAGTTGCACAACACTGTAAATGTAATTAATGGTACTAAATTATAGTATGCATGAAGTTACGTATAGTATGTATGAAATTAAAGTATAGTTCATGTGTATTGTACTATAGTCACAAAAGAAGTCTGAGTCCTCTTTAAAGGTGCACATTGTAGCACAATATTCCCTGCTAAAACCCTTCCACAGTCTCCCCTTCGCTTCCATGTCAAAACTGAAGTCCACAGCTTGGTCTTCAAGGCCCTGCACCATCTGGAAATGGTGTACTTTCTCTCCAACACTCAACTGCACCCCCAAGTTCCTACTAGATAAACCCCCACTATTCATCAAGCCTTGGCTTAACAGAAACAATTACTAAAAGATCCCCCAACTGATTTAGATTTTATCTTCTTCTACAGCATACATTTCCTTCATGGCACTAATCACATTAGGTAGTTACATATCCGCTTGTGTATCTGTTTAATTTTTTACTCTCTCACTAAACTGTAAATTCCTGGAGGTTAGAGAAAGTGTATTTTTCGTTCACTACTGTATGACCTGAGCTTAACTCAGACTACTTCCAATGGCAATATTTGTTAAGTTAATTATATGCTACGTAAGTAATACATGTGGAAAGCAAGGACAGTATCATCTTTACTCTCTACATATACAACATGATGGTTAACTTCTTACAAAACTGTAAAAATATTTTCAGGAAGATAGATTTTAAATTTTACTATTTTATATACCTGAAAATAAGCTTTTCAATATTACAGTTTTAATTATTTTGAACTCCACTCTAAACTCAGTTTTTACATTTAACTGGCATAGTTGTAGTTTTAAAACATAACATTCTAAATAAACTTAGGTACAGAACTCTGTCATATATTAGATGAAGTAAGAGTAGAACTAATAAACATTATCAGATACAATTATGCTTTAGTATGGCTCAGTCCAACAGAATCCTCTTGGGACCAGAGAATTCCCATTTTTCTGCTGGTTTTATGGTTCCCTGACCTTAAAGCTCCAGGAATGAACTGCCCTGACTTGTTATCATCATGACCCTACATCTTATTCTCTCCACAACCCACTCTCAAATAGACTTTCATATACACTCCACCAAAATAGATCTCATCAAGGTCACCAGAAATCCCCCAAGGTGCCAAATTCTATTGTCAGTTCTATCTTGCTCAATTCTCTGAAATTCACAACACAGTTAAACCACTCCCTCCCTAAGACATTTTTTTCCCCTCTGGGCTTCCAAGTTAAGACACTCCCTGGGGTTCTTCCTATTGTATTAGTGGCTCCTCCTCTGCTAGAGTCCTACATGGGGGAGTACTCCAAGATTTTATCCTCGGTTTCACTTTTCCATCTACAATGTCTCTTAGGGATTTCACCCAATTCCAATGTTTTAAACACTATCTGTTCAATAAAATACCAATTTTATACTCCACAAATATGTACACATATCTAGATTTTCTTTGTCTGCCTACCTATGTACACACACACACACACACACACTCTAAGACACCCAAGGTAAGTTCTGTCCCACCCCTGCCCCATCAAAATTATAATTCTCTCCATTCTAACTCATCTCAGTTACCCATACCATCATCTATCCCATTTTTCAGGTTAAAATCTTAGGAATCACACTTGGTGACATTTTTCCCTCAGCCCTGTCATCTCCCATCAACAAACCCTATCAGCTCTGCCCCCATTTTATCCCACCCACTTTCCTCTCTCACATCTACCACTGCACCATCAATTCTACTCTTCTAGTATCTTCTAAATTGGTACCCCCGATTCTACTTACTTTCCTATACAGCCATCAGAGAAAACTTTTTAGAGCATTAGTCTTATACATCATACCCCTAATAAAAACCCTCCAATGGTTTACCACTGTATTTAGAATGAAAAAATCAAAATTCTTTCCCAAGAACCTCATCTACAATTCTCTCCCTCATTCATTAAATTCCTCTCATACTGGCCTTTTTTCTGTCCCTCATACATCCCAAGGAAATTCCTACCTTCCCATTTATTGGTCTCTCAGTTTACAACACTCTTCTCCCACTTTTCATGTGGTGGCTGTTTCTCATCATTCAGTTCTCAGCTCAAATGTCATCTTCTCAAAAAGGCCTTCCCTGACCATCCTAGCTAGCTAGTAAGGGACTCCCCTTCCTCCACCCAATCATCCATTTTATTTTCTTTGTGGGATTTAAAAATATCTGAAGTTTCCCATTTGTGTATTTTGTCTGCTTCCCTGCATTAGAACACAATTTCCATAAGAAAAGTGACTCTAGGGGCGCCTGAGTGGCTCAGTTGTTAAGCGTCTGCCTTCTGCTCAGGTCATGATCCCAGGGTCCTGGGATCCAGCCCTGCATCAGGCTCCCTGCTCAGCAGGAAGCCTGCTTCTCCCTCTCCCACTCCCCCTGCTTGTGTTCCTGCTCTCGCTATCTCTCTCTCTGTCAAATAAATAAATAAAATCTTTTAAAAAAAAAAAAAGTGACTCTATTGTTCATAGGTGCCTGGTACCTAACAAGGTCTCAGATACTGTTTAACTGAACAAATGAATGAAGGAATGAGGATATCTCTTTTCAATAAAATAGGGTTAATTAAATATACCTCTAAATCCCGTAAGAAAAGGGACTCTGTTATAGCCGTCTGGAACCTAGCAAATTCTTAACTAATATTTAAATGAATAAATGAATAGGGGGCAACTTTTAATAAAATAGGTTCAATAAACGTACTACCAAACTACTTAAATAGCAAAAAAAAAAAATTCAATCTTTGGGGGGGAAAAGCAGATGAAGTAGAAGGTGGGATAATATTTGTTTTCAAATACAGATCACACTTATTTTTCAGCATCTCAAATTTCTAGGAAGTGCTCAGAAATACACATCATGCCAAAATGAATGCTAATTCATGCTTTGACCTTTTATGTTCAAATAATCCAGAGAAGATGCTTAGATTATCACAAAAACTCAGAGAAGGCAGTCTTTGTACCTCATATACTCATCCAATGGATAGTCATTCTAACTCAGTCTAACCATATATTTTAAATGTTATAATCACTCAAAAGTATTTTGGGGAAAAACAAGCACATTATAGACCTAAATACATATAAGAAAACCACAATCAGAACTATTTCTGTTGTGATGATTCATCTACTCCTAAATACACTCAGAATCAATGTACTACTAGCCATTTTTATGGGTTTTACAAATGAAAAAGTCACTTGTTTTTAAAAAAAAATCACCATTAAAACAAGATATTATTTACTTGCTTCCAGAAACACATAAAATATGAGATTAAAAATAATTAATTTCCAATAGGAAGTAGTCAGTACTCAGTTTTCCCAAGAACATAGTCTGATATCCATCCTAAATATTCAAATAACAAACTATTATTCCCTGAAATACTAAGTTCTTCATCAGGATGTCTGAGAAACAGTATACATGCTGAGAATAAGTTAATACCCTTGAGTGCATAAGAAATACTGGGGGAAGCATTAAAGCATATTGCATCCTAGAAAGCAATATCCTTCCTCAAGAATTTGATCAACACAGGGAATACCACTTAGTTTTCTTTTAACGTGTAAGGATTAATAACAGTAATCACAACACAAGTGATAATGTAAAACATATGAACATTCCATATTTATAAGACATAGTTTAATCAAGAGAATGAAAAATTCATAGATTTAGCCAATCAAAAATAATAAGACTCATAAAAATAAAAATCCAATGTATTATTTTTTTTTTTAGGATTTTATTTGGGGAGAGAGAGGGAGCGCTCAGGCACATGCACGCAAATGAGGGGAGAGGGAGAACAAGAATCTCAAGCAGACTCTGCACCGAGCAACGGAGCCCGACTGGGGGCTCAATCTCACAATCCTGAGATCATGACCTGAGCTGAATCAACAGTCAGATGCTGAACCAACTGAGCCTCCCAGGCACCCCCAATTCTATTATACTTTCATCGAAAAAAGTTTCAAAAGCCAAAAATAAGGAAAGTATTCAAGCCGACTTCCACTATTACTCACTCAGGTGGTACTGATGTTTTTATTAATTAACAATTTTCTGTTAATTTTATAGAGGCACTAAATATGTGCCAGGAATTGTTCTAACCATTTTTCTAATTCACTTAGCCCTCAAAATAATACCATATAGATACATTTTAATACTCCCCCTTTATACATAAAAGGGAGGCACAAGGAGAAGGAAAGATGGCGGAGGAGTAGGGGACCCTATTTCTACTGGTCCCCAGAATTGAGATGGATATCTACCAGACCACTCTGAGCACCCACGAAACCAGCCTGAGTTGTAAAAAGATCTGGATCTCTACAAACAGAATATTGCAGGTGGTTGGTTTCGAGGTACGAAGTGGGGAGCGCGGGCAGATATCGGAGGATAAACGGCAGCGGGAGGGTGCCTGGCCGTGGGGATCCTACACCACCGGTGAGAGACAGCCTCGCACGCTGGGGACGGGGCACAGACTCGCAGTCCAGTAGCAGCAAGGAAAGGACTTTAGGGCAGGCTCCCTGGACTGAACCGCAGCGGCAAGGCTGCAAGTGCGAACTGGGGGCAACTGGCAGTTTTAGAAGCACAAAGGGCAGAGACACGCTCCGACCTGGAGGCAGGACTGGGGGGCTGCGGAGGGGCGCACAACCCAGGACACTGCACCGACAGAAACGGAGAGAGTGTGGCCTGGAGAGCTCACTGAAGAACAGACTGCAGTCTCTCTTCTCTGAGGCAAAGGGTTGGAAACGGTCTCTTCCGCTCTGACTCGCGGAAGAGACACGGAAAGCCACCAGGGGAAAATGCCAGAGAACAAAAGCCCCCAAATCTGATTCCCACTGAGCCCATCCCCTGCCACAGGGGGGCAGGGCAACTCCGCCCAAACAGGGTTGCTTGAGCACCAGCGTGGCAGGCCCCTCCCACAGAAGACAGGCTGGGAAAACAAGAGGCCAGCAACCCTAAGGTCCCAAGAAAACAGGTGCATCTTGCTTGGGTTCTGGTCAATAATTTGGACTCTGTATATTTTCTCAAACACCCATCAACAGAATGACTAGGAGGAGGAACCCCCAAAATAGAAAAGACTCAGAGATTATGACTTATGCTGCAGATTTACAAATGGGATGCAGATATAACCAAGATGTCAGAGATGGAATTCAGGCTAGCAATTGTGAAGACAATGGCTAGAATGGAGAAATCAATTAATGGCAATACAGAGTCTCTAAGGGCAGAAATGAAAGCTGAATTGGCAGAACTTAAAAATGCTATCAGTGAGATCCAATCCAACCTAGATAATCTAACAGCTAGGGTAAGTGAGGCAGAGAACGAATAAGTGACCTGGAAGACAATATAATAGATAAAAAGGGAAAAGAGGCGGCCAGGGAAAAACAACTCAGAATCCATGAAAATAGAATCAGAGAATTAAGTGACA